CAATGTAAAAGAGAAGAAAATAGATTTTAGTTGAAGCATAGAGGGGCATCCAATTTTAGGATGGAAAGACAAAATTGGAATCTTATACTTATTCAAAATCTGAAATGCTCTACTACAATTTATGGTATCGAAGACCTAACATTTTAGTTTTCGCAACTTGGTCGTGTTATCAGGGGGACTTAGTTGAATGCAACTTGTCCGAATTCCTCTACCATAGCAGTTGAGATAATTGCCAACATCAGACCGTGTGAAAATGTACTAAGTCCAGGGTCTGATGCTGGGAATTATGATAACTACTATGTCAGAGTACTGAGGACAAGATACGTTCAACTTAGTCGCCCTGGCAACAAGACCAAGTTGCGAAAATGAGGTCAACCCACTTCTATAAATCGAAGTGAGAATGCGACTACACCGAGGGCCACACCATCTTGGTCTTCAGACCTTCGATTAACGCCTAACGACATATCCAGTTCTTAGTCAAAGTTTAAAAACAGTTTTGAAGTCTATTAAATTTGGCATAGTTCTACTAAATTCTGGCAAATAAATTTGTCCACCGAGGCTATTGAAAGTTTGAGCTGAGTGGTTATCTATTCACAAACTAAACGAAGGTATGAAGAAGAAGTTAGTGTGGCCACTGTTTTGGTTGCGGTCTCCTTTGGTTGTACAGAAGTGGTTTACCCTCGTTTTCACAATTTAATTGTGTTTTTAAGTCGATCAAAAGGAATGAGCCTTGTCCGGAGTACTCTGCCATAGCGCCGGACCATGGACTTGGTAAATTCCGAGACGTTTCGCTGGAATCCTAATTCCGCATTGCTATTGTTAGAACAAGGCTACAACTTGCCAAAGAGATATGACCACGAAATGTCAGGAAATGTATCGAATTCACGGTCCGGCGCAGGATCTCGGTCGAGATGCCATGACAACACGACCGAGATGTGAAAACGAAGTCAAACCACACTTATCTACAAAATATTTTAATATGAGATATATTTACCCAATTTCGTTTAAGGTGATGAAGGACTAGTAGAAAAATTTTCCTACATTGATATGAGTAGAGCTGATGATTATCGATTTACTAGTAGTCTCAAAACAATACTTAAAAATGCGAAAAATAAAATATTTAAACTTATGGCAGGAATTTAGTCAGCATAGGTCGCTTGAGGTGATGCAAAAATGTTATGTGAAGTAAAGTTGGGTTTCGGGTACTCTTTTGGTTTAAAATAACTGGGTTCAATTCTATTTCGAGTGAAAGTGCTTGAGATTAAGTGTTTTTATGTTCGATCCCATCAGAAGATGAGAACACATTCCTTTTCGTATACTGAAGGTTGGAGTTCCGGGAAACACTCTTTTTGACGGAATTCCCGAATCAATCTCCTTTCCTTTTATAGTAGTTATAATCACAAATACACTTTATTCATTTTTTAGTTCACTCTTACTTCCTCACATACGGTCAAAAAGTTAATCCAATTAACCATACATGGGTCCTATGCTATGCAATCGGATTGATGGTTAAAATAGAGCAGGTGGGTTCAATAAACCTTGGTGAGTAAGGACAGAATATAAGTTGTTCTCCAATCCATTTAACCTATCACTACTGGTTTCGTACATATAAGTACAAATAAAGGCACATTGGCTTATACAAACAGACATGCGAACATACCTTCGATTGACATATAACTTGAACTAACCAAATCACTTTATACATCTACAAAATGTATAGATTTAGGGTATATATATGCATCATTTAAGTATATACCGATGAGTTTTATTGAATTGGTATGAACATGACTGTAAGAATGATAGCCCAATTTGATGAGGTCCGTCATATGAAAGCCGAAAGACTAGAATAAGTAATCTTATTCAAGATATGTTAGTAATTTCGAAACCTATTTAATCAAAATGAAACCCTATCACTTTATCGCCGGACTCGAAGGAAATGTTTGGTCAACCCACTTCTATAAATCGAAAGAAGACTGCGACCATACCAGCAGCCACAACAGCTTGGTTTTCATATCTTCTTAACAAGACAGTTTCACTAAAGCCAACCGACAACTGACTAAAATGATTCCGCTGTCGTCTCCTGTTGGGATCGACGTTTGGATCTTTTATCATACAATTTCAATTAAAATGGCGGAAAGCTCAATAATAATAAATGAATGTTGAGTTTTCCCGCAATGGCATGAGTAGGCATTACGTTGTTATTGAATTTCAATTGGCCTTGTCCCCTAAAAGGTTTTATCCTTCAGGGTTGACTAGAATTTCGTCCTTATTTTATTGCTTTATCATCACCCTCAACCGGATTTGAAACCGTGTCATCGGCACTGTAGCGATAAGTAGAATTCCTTTGCTACACAGCCACGCTTACCAGTTGTATCACAAAGCAAATGTGGTATTCCAGGAAGACCACAACATTGATATTGGCTTACTTTTTATTTCGTTTGAAAAGAAGGGTGGAAAATTGGACTTTTAACCTCTGTATTATGCAGAGAAAACCTTGGCTAACCATCCTGCGATACCGATGAATCCGTGCCCAGCATTCATCACTCATATGAAGGGCGACTTCAGAACAAGAGGTAACCACCTGATGCTCCACATATCTTCATATAAATTCGGTTCCGATATTATCAGTATCACCTACTTACTACTTACTACTCAGAGCTAACTTTGCGATCTGTCATGTTGCAGACATCGTCATGTAAATATGCAAGGTAAGCATGAAGTAGCCAAACAAATCATAGGATGCAAAATTAAGTGCCACATTTTTTGCTTTCGTATTTTTTGGTAAGTTGGTCCTAAATGATGGTTTCCGTTTTCCGACGGTATCCGTTGCATGACTGGGGAAGGCCCAGCATGGATTAATTGGCGTCGTAGAACGGTGAGCCAAGTCTTCTTCGCACAATTCAACAATCAAAATACCAAGGCAACCCTCCTTGGGTGTTTGGCGAGGCCAAGTTACGAACCTCTTCCATCCAACTTATCAAACGAAATGAAAGGTATGCCTGCATTTTATTAGGATAGTCTAATATATTTGATAGAACTAATCTTGCATACGGACAGTGTCGAGTTTCATTCTTTAATAGGATTTTATAACAGAATCTGTTATCGTGAGGTATACTCAGCACTGTATAAAAAATGTCACTATCAGTCCTCAACTTATTCGAACTGACAAATTTCTTATATCTTTTCCATTTTAAACTTTATCTGGCTGAATAAAAATGCTTTTATATGCGTAGAAAAGTTGGCCTTCGAGGAAGCTCTCGTTTCATAAGTGTTGAGCTAACTTCCATTTCGGGTGAAAGTGTTCAATGAAGAGACCCAACGGTCGATCCCACCAGAAGACGTTGGCGGAGTCCTCTTGACCAGCTGTCGATTGGCT